CGCGGTTGTTGCGGTGGTTAGGGTGTTCTGCGCGGTTGCTAGGGTGTTCTGCTCGGTTGTTAGGGTGGTTAGGGTGTTCTGTGCGGTTCCTAGGGTGTTCTGTGCTGTTGCTAGGGTGTTCTGTGTGGTTGCTAGGCGGCTGCTCACTGTCTTCTGCGTGTGTTTTCAGGAGGTTTGAAGCGGTGGTTCTGCAGGGAAAGAGTCCCACGATGGAGATGCTGTTCGACTGGGGAACCACAGGGTGTTCTGCGCGGTAGCTAGGGTGTTCTGCGCTGTTGCTAGGGTGTTCTGTGCGGTTCCTAGGGTGTTCTGTGCGGTTGTTAGGGTGGTTAGGGTGTTCTGCGCGGTTGCTAGGGTGTTCTGCTCGGTTGTTAGGGTGGTTAGGGTGGTTAGGGTGTTCTGTGCGGTTCCTAGGGTGTTCTGTGCTGTTGCTAGGGTGTTCTGTGTGGTTGCTAGGCGGCTGCTCACTGTCTTCTGCATGTGTTTTCAGGAGGTTTGAAGCGGTGGTTCTGCAGGGAAAGAGTCCCACGATGGAGATGCTGTTCGACTGGGGAACCACAGACTGCACTGTTGGAGATCTGGTGGAGATTCTGCTCCGTCACCAGCTGCTCGCCGCCGTCAGCGTCCTGCTGCCCGATCACAGCAGCTGCCGCGCCTCTGCAGGTACTCCAGCATCACTTTACCTTGATCTGTTCTGTTGCTGGCACACGACTGTGGAATAGTCTCCCGCTATCTATGAGATTCATTTCCACAGAGTCTGAATTTAAATCCAAGTTAAAAACTTACCTTTTCTCTCAGGCTTACAACTATCGAATTTTAGGGGTTTTTGATGTTAACTCCTCTTACCATTGCTTTGCTGTCTTTTTATTCTTTCTGTCTCTTTTTTAGATAAACGTGTCCCTGCAGCACAAAAGCAGTGTTGAGTCGCTGGGGGATATTTGTAGCAATAGCCAACAATACATTGTATGGGTCACAATTATACATTTCTCTTTTATGCCAAAAATCATTAGGATATTAAGTAAAGATCATGTTCCATGAAGATATTTTGTACATTTCCTACCGTAAATATATCAGAACTTAATGTTTGATTAGTAATATGCATTGCTAAGAACTTCATTTGAACAACTTTAAAGATGATTTTCTCAATATTTGGATTTTTTTGCACCCTCAGATTCCAGATTTTCAAATATTGTCCGATCCTAACAAACCATACATCAATGGAAAGATTATTTATTCAGCTTTCAGATGATGCATAAATCTCAATTTCAAGAAATTAATTATCCTTTGTCTTTCTGTACGGCACAATGGTCAACTGCTGTTGTTTTTATTTGTGCTATATAAATAAGATTTGCTGTGCTTGATGGGATGATCTCAGTAAGGTCTGTAGTTCTCAGTGTCGTGCTGATGTTTGACTGCAGGCTCCTCCGGCGCGTCGCTCAGCACACTGCAGTGTGAAGCAGCGGAGCGTCCGTCCGAGGCGTGTCTGCAGGCGTGCGTGCGTCCTGAGATGATCACCAAACCTGTCAGCAGACCCGTGGTGATGGAGCCGGACAGCAGCTCCGGGCCGGAGGAGAACACCTGGAGCGCCACTGAAGAAGGTACCTGACACGTACAGTACAGTCAAACCAACCATTATTCACACACCAGATAGCATTTGTGATATCTTTTTACTAGCGGGTGCAGGACACTATAGAATGGAAGCCCTATCCGCCACTGAATAAAAAAATTAAATAGGTATTTGCGACCTCAATTCTCACCTTTTTTCTCACTATTGTGAGTTTGCATCTCGGGATTGCCTGAAACAAACTCGCAACGTTTTTTCTCAGAATTGCGAGACGTAAAAGTTTTTTTTCCCCTTAGAACTGGACTTTATAACTCGCAATTCTGACTTTATTTAAATCATTCTGATTTGCTGCTCAAGAAACATTTCTGATTATTATCAATGTTCAAAACAGTTTTTGCTGCTTCATATTTTTTTGCAGCCTGTGATGCATAAATCTGATAATTCTGATAAATCAGAATGATTTCTAAAGAACCACGTGACACTGAAGACTGAAGATCAAAGCTTTGATCACAGAAATAAATTACATTTTAAAGTATATTAAAATATTGTTTTAAATTGCAATAATATTTCACAGTTTTATTCAGATTTTTTTTTTTTCATTTATTTTATTCTATTCCTATTCTATCTATAGCACACCTGTACGCGCAATTTATTAATTCTTTTGTGGTTTATTTATATTTATGCATCACGTGACACTGAAGACTGGAGTTACGATGCCTTAAATTTAGCTTTGATCACAGAAATAAATGACATTTTAACAGATATTAAAATAGAAAACTATTGTTTTAAATTACAATAATATTTCAGTTTTTTTTTT